TCTCTTCCTCCACCTCCCCAATTTTCTAAAATGCCAATTATATCCTTCTAAAATGACAATTATATCCTTAAAAGTTAAAATTTTTTATTTTTATTATTTTAATATTTTAATTTATTTAAAACTTCTGATTTACTTCCCTCTGCACCTCTTCCTCTCTTCCATTTTCGTTTACCTTTCTCTCTTCCGTCAAGCTTCTTCTCCACCGTTTATCATTTTCTCTTCCGTCAAGCCTCATCAACGTTTAAAAACTAATCATATATAACATTTAAAATTATAAATTTAAATATAAATTACTGTAAATAAAGTAAACAAATAAAATAAAAACGAAACGTAAAACGAACGCTGCCTCTGGACGGATGACATCCTTCAACGGATGTCAACATCCGTTTAAGGCAAAACGGATGTCAACATCCGTTTAAGGCAAAACGGATGTCGACATCCGTTTCTCTGCTTGGGATGAATTAGAATGGAAAAGTTGGACATGAGAAAACTTAGATGCCAAGCAAAAGTGATAGGAACTATAGTAACGGTTGCTGGGGCCATGTTGATGACACTGTACAAAGGGCAAGTCATCAATTTCTTGGGTTCTCAGTACATGCATCACCCCAGAAATTATGTTCCAGAAAACACCACTGATTCTGGGGAAAAGGATTGGTTTAAGGGCTCTATTCTTCTCATAATTGCCACCCTTGCTTGGGCTTCTTTCTTCATCCTTCAGGCAAGTAATCAAGTGTTTTTAAATCAAACTGTGGGGAGAGAGTAGCTTACCCACTTCTTTGATTCTTATTCATGCGACTGACTTGTTACATTATGCTGTGGTTAATGCAGGCAGTCACACTAAGGAAATACCCTGCTCAGAAAATGGGAGGTTGGAGACTGTGGTGGAAGAAGCCGAAGCAAACAACGATATCGAGATGCAAAAGGGTGAAGAAACGTCGAGAGATTTAAGGGTAGCCATTGTTGTTCCAAAAGTTTAAAGTGGTAGTGATAATCAGAAATGGAGGAATGAATAATAGAGGCTGCAATGAAAAAGGGTCGTTAACTGAGGAGAGCAGAGAAATTACAAGGGGTTTTTGTTTTGTGTACTCACCATCTTTTTCGGAAAATTAACCAGAGTTTTCTTTTTTGGGACCTTCTGTCTGGACCTTACTGTCCATAATGTAACTTAAATTTTGCACACTTTGGTGAAAAGGAAAATTGACATTGCAGAATTCTTCCTCTTTCCCTTTCTCAGAATAATTCGCAGAATGATAATTGCTGACATCTAATTGCAGGCATAAACGGTCTAATCTACATGAAAGATTTCTATAATTTTAATGAGGGACAAAATAAAATTTTAATGAGGGGCAAAATAATAAAGAAAAGGTGGAAAAAGGGGCAAAATAGTAAAGGGGAGGTGGAGGAAGAGATGTGTGGGGGTGGAGGGAGCAACACCCTTTTTTGAGTTTTGTTGAAGCTACAGGTTTTTTTAAAATTCCAAATGTTTCCGGCCCAGTCCTAGTACTTATCTCGTCCCATCTTAGTTTCCCATTTAAGTTACTAGAATATCCATAAGTAACCTAAAATATCCATAATTTACTAAAATATCTTATAGTGAATGTATATTACATTTTAGTAACTAAATTTTTCAGTTTCATTTATCATATATATAAATTTCTTTTTTCTACATGTAAGTGGATCAAATGCAAGTGAAACTAGTGATTGTATGCAAAATTAATAGATGCTTTGGTTATTATAACATTTTAATTATGTAAAATTGTTTAGTATTTATATAATTCTTTGAATATTCTCTACTTATTATTTAATACTCTAATTTGAGATTTATATAATTCTAATATTATTCTTAACTTTGATATTCTGGAAAAAAAATATATTCCTTTTAATATTGAATATTTTGATAGTATCTTAATTTATTTGCAGTTATTTTTATATATTTTTATAGAAATTATTTAATTGATATTTGAAACAGTAAAAACATGAGTAAAGAGATATACCATTATTAGATAAAAATGAGACAAAAATCATATATCAACTGGTTTGGGAATGAGATTAATTTTTATTACGAGAATGAAGATATAGAATAATGAAACCGGCACCCATCTTATTGTCATCCTATGTGAACATGCATATGGAGATATTAGAGAAATGATAAAAACACATAAAAATTATATACTCGTTCAATTGAATATGAAATCAGTCTCCATCCAGTACATAGTGTCATCCTACATAAGATGAGGAAATCTCACCTATATTTTAACTTCAGTTTTAAAATCTCGATAATGATTGGATATAGGTACATAAAGAGGAGAAAGTTCAAATTCAATTACATTATTGTAATTGTAACACAGTAAATGAATTTTTGTCGAAATAATAAAACTTTTACATAATTGAATAATTCTGTATTGTTGTTTAATTAAATTTTGAAGTTTCACGTTCTTTTCTTTGAAAGACTTTTTTAAGACAATATCCAATAAATTTCATGATAGATTTTAATTTAATCTTCTGTTCTTAAATCCATATTACAGTCTAATTTACAAACAGTAAAAGTACTGGGTTTTTTTATAATATAAATACCATAAGCAAATATAAGGTTATGTTTCCAACATCTTACCAATTGAAATAACCCCTCTCAATAAGAAACACCACCTCCAACTTGGCTTCTCACGGCAAAGATCTCGGCACCATTTTCCAAATTCAGCTGAAACAAGGTATAAGGTATAAGGGCTTTGTTTACTGTTTTAAAAAAGAGTTTTCTGTTTTTTATATTTGTAAAGATTAAACAACCTTTTTCACAAATGTTTTGTTATTTCATTTTTACTTTCCGGTTTAAAAACAAAAAATATGAAAACCCGCTAATTTTAGTTTCGTTGTTCTTTCTCAACCTACCATCAAAACTTGTTTCATTTCTTTCAAGATTTGATGAAAGACACAAATCTGTTTTAATTCATTTCTATATATATATTTTTTTCATCTCTAAATCATTTTGCAAACTAGAGTTACCAAACGATTTTTTTATCTTTAAAATTGATTACTAAAACTGTTTTTTCAAAAACTAAATCAAACATATCCTATGTTTTCTATGGAAATATAGAAATATATGAAAAGTCATATCTAATCAAATAGTAAATAGATAAATCATCAAGTTGATTGTTGAATATAAAAGATTCAGTTAATTTAGTTTTTGAAAGGACGAACTATTGACTTTTAGTACATAAATTTTGTAAGAGTCCAACATTTACGGTTTATTATTAAGTGCTATAGGATTGTTTTATTCTTAAAATATCAAAGATAAATTTGATAGTAAATTAAAAATTGTTTTGACATTAAATTATAATATACTAAATTAAATTAAGACTAAATATATGTGATGATTGGATTCAAATTAAAATTAAACTTATAAAATAGATTTTATAATGTGAAAGTTACCTTACATATATACATTAATTTGAACTAGTTTAAGTTGAGAGGTGTGCTGTGGAACATGAATTTTCTTGAAAGAAAAGTGACCATCAAGGATTTAACATGGTCATGTCGTGAAAGAAAACTAACCATTTTGGGTGTTTGACGCCCCTTAACTTCAGTACCCTCATGTATGAACTTCAAGGTCTCGTATTCCAACTTCTTTCTATTACAGAAATCTCTGAATACCTTAAAAAACTCCAAATTCTGCTTCACCTTGAAGAACAACTTATTCCCATCCTACGATTCAATCAACAAAAATCTGAAAACTCAAAAAACTGAATTGAATTCTTTACACAAAAAATTTAGTCAGAAAGGTTTACGCTGTCTCATCCAACATTTCTCTGAAAAGTAAATTAGAGTTTACATTCTTTTAAAAATTAAATTTTGACCAAAGAATCATCTACCAATATCAATAGTGTGGGGATTATCAACATGCCAATACATTGATATAAGAGTTTTGGTATTATTTTTAGACATGTGTGTGATATTCCCAAGCAATGATTCAGATAAAAATAAAGCAGAACAAAAAAGATCATCATGGAGAAATTAAAGAATCATGTATACACCTGAAAGCTGATTGATAAGTCGACATCAGTACACACATCATCTGGTGGCGATTTTCTCTTATGTCCAGCAATGGTAGTCGTGGCCATATTGTTCTTCTGAACACACAAAGGGAAGGGATGTAAGATTACACCAACCTCAATATCAAAGGAGAAAACAAAAGAACCCTAATTTAATTTTAGTAGATCTATGCAGACAAAAGATAAAGGTTTTACTCCAAAAAATTGCGAAAAAATCTTGAGAATGGATAGAAAATTAAACCATGTTTTTTTTTTGTTAGAATGTGAAACGAAAACCTCCAAAACCACACACAAACTGGAAGAGGGTTACTGCAATTTATTTTATTCTTGAATAAAAAAGGAAGAGAAACGCACAAACTGGAAGAGGGTTACTGCACTTTATTTTATTCTTGAATCAAAAAGGAAGAGAAAGACGTTGTAAAAAAAGGGCTTCAAAGACAAGGACAGAGAAAGGAGCATGAACTCTGTTGTTTCACATGGATACCATTTTCTGGCTCTGCCTGTACGTTTTTTTGTATTCGTTTCAGTTTCCTAAATTGTTAATAGTAACAAAAGAAAAAAAAAAGTAAAGTTAGCGTGTACAACTAAAAGTAAGTTATTTTTGAAAACTGTAAAAAGAACAGTACTCTACGATTAAAATAAAAAGAGTTATGACTTATTGATATTAAAATGGTTAAATATGTGCAAATTTGATATAGGTCTGTTCTTTGATTTTGTTTAGTTTTCTAATTATAGAAAACGTATAGTTTCTCTCACTCAATCACATTAATTTTTATCTGACATACGTTCTACAATGTTTTCTTTCCATGTGTCAATAATTAATTTTTTGAAATGGAATAATATTTTTTTAAACATAGACCAGTTTCTTCTTGTGGGTTTTAAAGTTTCTTTTTCTTTAAAATGAAACTAGCTTCATCTCCAAGTCACTAGATCTAATCCTCCAAGTATTATCCATATCTTGACCAATTAAAGGTGAAAATTAGGATTGATTCTTCGGAAAAACTTAGATAAAGTTGAGCTAGATCCTAATTTATGATAAATTCATGAGGAAGTGACAGCATAATCTTCTACAACATTTAGAAATTGGTTAATTGGAAAGATACTCTTAGATATCTTAATATTTTATTTTTATCTTTTATTTTTAGTTAATACGTTATTATTTTTTGTTTGTATTTTGGATTTAACCTAATTTTTTTTATTATAAATATAATGTCATGTGTATATTTCATACAAAGAGGAGATTAATCTCATACTGTGCTTTTACTATACTGAACAAATACATGTAGGGTGTTACTCCCTCCACCACCACAACTTGCTTCCTCCACCACCCCATTTCCCTTTTATCCTTTTTTTTATTTTTTATTCCTATTTTACCCTTATTAAAATTTTAGGGTTAATATTATTTAAAATCTCACGTGAACATTCATTCTCTTTATCATTCTTCCCTCTTTCTCTTTATTATTTTTCTCAGGTTCACTCTTATGTTCCACTATCGTTGGGTTGTCTCTCACGTTCCACTTCTTCTTCTTTTTTATAGAATTGTGACGTGAGAGTGTGGTGGACTTTGTGTTTAGTAAAATTGAAAGTGGGGAAAGCAATTCATTTTCAGCCGTGAGTGGGATGGTGCTTCAAGGTGCTGGTTCAGTGGGGTGGTGCTTCAAGGTGCTGGTTCAGAGGCGTGAGAGATTGAGAAGCGTGAAGATGCATAATAAAATTCTAAAATATAAACTGTAATCGTTAAACGGATGTCCGTCGACGGATGTCAACATCCGTTGAAGGGAAAACGGATGTCGACATCCGTAGCTTAGTGTGAAGAAACTTATAGAAGAAGAAATGATCACTGACCAAGATGAAATAAAGGATCAAGATAACGTGGAAGTCGAATCAAAGCAATCCAGATTAGGGCGTGATGAACCCCAGAAGACAGATTCCAAAAGAAAGAAGAAATCTCGCAAGAAAAACCATGATTTGAAATCAGATGCAACCTTGAAATCAGAGTTTTCACATAAGAAGCATTCAAGGGAACAGTCAAAAGATACTATAGATTTGGACAAAATAATGGATGATTTTTGTCATGTTGAAGCTTCTTTTTCCATGATGTTTGACAATGATGGTAAAATTGACGCGCAGTCAAACCAAAAGAATGTTATGTTTGAAAACCTTGTTAATGCAATCCATGAATTTGTGAATCAGATGAGATTGAATGGGAAAGATTTGCATGAAGATGGACAATTCCTTAGCTCACGTGAACTCATGGAAGCACTTCAGGTTATAAGTTCAGATAAGCAATTGTATCTTAAACTTCTACAAGACCCAAATTCGCACTTGCTGAAATACATTCAGGAGTTGGAAAATGCTCAAGGGAGAGATGGCAAAGATTGCAGTTCACTTACTGCCTCCAACTGCTCTGAACTAGAACTTGTTAGTCTAAAACAAACTAGGGAGAATACCAACCGTAAGCATCTTAACTTTTTCATGAAAAGGGGAAAGTCTCAATCAAAAGATCTGACAAATGAAAATGGGAAAACTGAGTTTTCAAATAGAATTGTCATTCTGAAACCTGCACTAACTGTCATTCAAATTTCTGAAAGTGAAAGCAACCTTGTCTCAATGCTAGATTCTCGTGATGTTTCCAATTACAAAGGTCCTTCTGTGAGAGTTGGTTCACATTTTTCTCTTACAGAGATAAAAAGAAAATTGAACCATGCCATGGGAAAGGAGAGGCATGGAAACCCTGAAGTAATCCCACGAAAGCTCCCTGTTGAACGTCAAAATATAGATTTTAGGGTTAAAGTAAATAATTAAAATTAAAAAATATAAAGGTTATTTTTGTAATTATAAAAGGTTAGTTTTGTAATTCAGAAAATATATAATAGAATTGGGGAGGTGGAGGGAGAAAATGTGGTGGTGGAGGGAGTAACACCCATACATGTATTTCATGTTTTACCCAGAAAAGAGACCCCAACCCTAGGAGCCTAGACAAGTGGTGATTCAACATAGATTCCACATTTGGAACCAAGCCAATTTTGGATTAGTGATAGTGAAACCAACCAGCAAAAAGCATTAACGATTCAAAGACCAATGAAACCCATGATGTAGGCAATAAATATCCTCGCATATCACTAAGTCTTGAATTTTCTATTTGCTCAAATACACCAAAAAACCCAATTTGCAGAAATTGATAAATTAGGTAGAAATTGTTTGTTGAAAGACTAGATAGCAAAGTTTTGATTATACTTCATACATCAATCATCTAGGGGAGATAACCTAACTCAACGTAGAAACTTGTTTCAAAAAAGGCGATACAAGAATTGGGAATTGGATATTTGATGATGCCATCAATGTTGCCAATGACGACTCTATAACGCCCAGTCGCAAGACTTAGTGCTAGAGTGGAAGCCTTGTGGAGATGGAAATGGAGGACACCCTTACTGGTTTCATTTTGAAGAAGAAAAGGGAAAAGAAGAAGAAGAAACACTAACACAAAGAAGGTTTTTACATGTGTTATTATAGCCTTTTATGTCTATTTTGGGTTAGACATAAATCTAGGCAACATAAATTTACGTTTGTTATTTTAACATACATAAATTTACATTTATTGTTGACTAGTAAACATAAATTCTTCACATAATTTTATAAAAAGAAACTATACATCCACCGTAGCCACCATCATTTTCTTCCTCCCCATCTTCACATAGCCACCATCATTCATGGTCAACCTTTGCACCACCAACTCCCACCGTGTAATCCACCTCCAACATCCATTGGACAATCTCACCACTCCCACTCATCGGAGACTCACAGGAAGCGTGAAGCAACACATGTGTTACACACAACAATGAACAACCACCACACAACAACGTTAGAGATGCCACACTGCAAGCCACAAGGCAAACCACCATGAATGCGAGGAGCAAGCGCAAATCTCTAGCTACCATGCATCTCACCACTACAATCACGTCGAACATCCACAACCAAATCTACGACCACTAATAACACTAAAATTATCCAAACCTCTTCTTTTGTGATATTGCCCTTACTTCACTAAATATGGATAGCCTATGGAGCTTAAGTTGTGTATTTCTAGGCTAGTGCCTCCCAAGATGAAGGATTCTTCATTGCTTAAGCATCAGGTCAAGGCTTGAGGTTTCCTTTCAAGATGGATTTTCTTTGTGAGACTCAAGCCTCAGATTTCACACTACAGTCGTGCTAAAGTCAATTTGTTGTATTTTGTTCTCATAATTTCTCTGTCTTCTTCATAATTCAGCTTTGACTCTTGAATTTCATTAAAAATTGCAAAACAAGTAAAATTGGGGTGATTATCATAAATATTTAACAAAATCAAAACAAGATAAGTGTCAAATTATCATCAAAACTAACTCATCACTAGTGCATAAATAGTGTTTAACGCGTTTAACGTCTAACCAAAGAAAATCCAACGTAAAAAATGACCGATGACATTTTTGTAAATAAAACGCCATTATAGAAGTCGGTTCCCTAGGGTCAGATGTCAGATTCTCCTTTAGACGTCGGCCCCCTAAATCAGACGTCAGCCCCCTAGATCGGACGTCAAAAAGGTCCGAAAATATCTCATTTTAAGCGCCAATATTAATATTTTTACGACATAGACATCGGCCCCTCCAAATCAAACGTCAAATCCTCTACCAGAAGCTGCAAAATCAAAATTCAAAGTTCACTTTTTTAGAGATTTGACATCGAACGTAGAAGGGACCGACATCTAATACACATTAGACGTCGGATCCCCTTCCTTATACGTCAATAAGCTCCGAAAATATCCCAAAAGTAGTGCAAAAATAGATTTGTTTAGCAATTAGATGTCAGATCTGGAGGAGGGCCGACGTCAAATATCTTCTTAAACCCCAAAAACTCAGAATGCAAGTCTCACTTTCTTTTACATTTTCGTTTAGGCTTTTGCTTCGTTCGCATTCGCCATTATTGCTACAAGGTATGTTTGATTATTTTTCTTCCAATTAATTTATTTTGCACCGATTAACTTTAGTTTGCACCGATTAAATTTCGTTTGCATTGATTAAATTTCGTTTGCTCCGATTAATTTTGGCTTATGATGCAATTTTGTTTGTGAGTTGATGAATCTTAGTGGCGGTAGCGAATGTCCAATCTCAATTGCTTGAAACTCATAATATATACAATTTTATGACGTTCTATAATGATTTTATGTATTTTAAGTGTGGTAATATTGTAAAAAAAATTACTTTTTTTAAAAAACAAAACAAAAGGGATGTCGGTTTAATAGGGGTCTGACATCAAAATTGACGTCCAGGGAAGGGGTTCCGACGTCAAATTGATGTCTCCCAATAAGATATCGAATCTGTATTGGACGTTGAATGTCAAAAACAATAGATGTCAAAAGCCTTTTTTGTAGTAGTGCATATTGAGCACTTATCAACTAAGACCTTCCTTATGCCAAATTTTTTCGCTTCGACAATTATGACCATGGGATCGTCCAG